TCCAGTTCACAGTGTGCAGGTGGTCCTGCCAAACACAAAGGATCAGGGAAATGGAGATGGGAAATTTAGATTAATGCTGTCTCCTTCATTCTTAATCTCTGAAAAATAACTTCCCAATGCAGCTGTGCAACCAGACTGTCCCCTACCCACAGTGGAGAGGAGCCTATTAGCAAGTAAAACATTCCCCAGGATCTATCTGGGGAATCTTCACAGAGATTATTCACAGTCAGCCGTGTTAAAAACTTTGTCTCAGTTCCCTCTGTTCCTGCTGTCTCACCCACCGTGCCAAAACCCTTTTACAGCACCACAGAGGACAGATGTCACTGTACACGATGTCACCCACACCAACACATCCCCCTTTCTCTTGGAGGCTGCTCTGTTGTAGCAGAGAACAATCTGACCCCCAACTTGTGCTGGGCACAGCCTTCAGAAAACATCCCTTGGCTGAATGCACCCCAGCAAGGGTGTCTGGCAGTACCACCCAGATCAGACCAAGCACTTTGTGTGGCAGTGACACAGCCCAAAACTGCTCCTCACACTGTGGCTCGGACACAGATTTTACCTGAGGGCTACAACCCTGGCCAGCATCAGCTGCCACCCTGCTCTGTGTGGGACACACACCAACACCTCCAGCTGCAGGGAGAAACAAACTGAGGCCTGACTGATGAAATGAACAGGGCTTTGTTCACAAGGTCAGGATGCAGGCAAGTCCTGTCCTACTACACAATAAAAAAAAAGCCTGAGGAGCCACTGTTATCTGCAGTCCTTGGCTCTCTTGAGACATGAAGCCAAGGCCACACAGCAGTTTTGGGATGACATTGCTCAAGTCACTTACTCAGCTCTAGGCTACAGCCTGGATTTTCAAAACCAGCAGTTCAACACCCACCTCATTGGAGTGAGTGAAGGTTTGTGACATCTCAATGAGAATAATTTTCATCGTGTGTGTGTGTGTGTGTGTGTGTGACTGTGGTCTTCCTTTCCTCAGGCAATTCGCTGCTCCCTTGAACTCTGTCTAGGCCAGGGACAGTCTCAATCACAGCCCTTACTTTGTTTATTGCAATATCTCTTACAGGCAGAGAACTGCTATCACGCTCATTTCACCAATGTAAAAATGGCACTTTTCCTCTAGGTGTCTCAGAAAAATACATTTACTTTAATATTATCCTTTAATTTACTTTACTTTAATTAATTTATATAAATATATAAAAATATAATTTACTTTAAATTATCCTCCAGGACCAAATAGGTGATCTTCTGCTTCTCTGCTTCCAAAAATGACGCCAGAATTTAAAAAAAAAAAAAAAAAAATTACAAAATACGTATCCCAGGATTTAAAGCACGCAGTTAACCCTTTCCTGTGTGCTCTCCGAGCGTGCTTTGCCGGCTCTGCTGGCTCGGCCAGTTCCAGCACGGGGACACGCGGTGGCACTGTGGCCTGCCTCACCTGCCAGGGCTCCTCGGTTCCCTTTCCCCTGGCTGCATCCCGCACATCCAACCACAGGGAAGAGCACACGTGTAGGGAAAAAAATAAATCCTGCTCTTCATGACTTATATATAGCACCTTCAGGCACGGGATCCAAAATAAAAAAGGGGGTGGAAAACCAGACCCTGAGTGAACGGCACTTTGTTTTCTGTGTGGTCCTAGAGAGTCACACACGTTTCTGGGTGTATTTAAGATGCTGTTTCACACTTAAAATGAACACATCAGTGTTCATACTTACACCCGTTTTTCCTGCAGCTGAAAATCATCTTTCCCAGGGTACAAACCCAGCTAGTTCTGTAAGTCCTAACAGAGAGAGAGGGACTGGGAAGGGAAAAAAGAGTGAAAGAACCAGTCACCATAACTTTCATATAAATATAATTTTTGGGAAACTTCTGATGGAGAAAGGTTGTGTGGTTTAGGTCAAGCCCATCTGGTAAGAATAACAAATACATCTTATTAAAAAAAAAATTGGTTTCCTGATGTGCTTGCCTGCATCAGACACTGGGCTTGAAACCAAACGTTTTTATTTGGTCTTTCACATCCCTTAATCAGCACTTGCATGGTAATTAATTCTCTTTTCCAAAAAATCCAATGAGGAAGCATGCATCACAAGTTGCGATCTTTTAGGGATAATCTCAGCTATGTTGCTTTCCATCTGCAAATGACACTGCTAAAGTATTTCACTCTCAAAAGACTTGGGGCTTTTTTTTTTTTTCCTTTCAGTTAAGATGGGATATTAATCCAAAATAAATCAACTTTAAGGAATTGCTGTTGATGGGACAATCAGTTACATGATACTTGTTTATTTTCTTCAGCTAAGAAAAAAACCTTTACTCATTTCTATTTCAGATCCTGGCTAAGCATCTTCTGAACTGCTGTGCAGGCAAAATTCTTTCTTTCTCCTCTGTCCTCCTGCCCACAACTTTCCAGTCAGCACTCCTGGTTACAAGGAGAGAAATCCATCTCAGAAATCTAATTAAAGATTTTAAAGCCAAGAGCAAATTGCTATTTCTTTTGCTACAAATCTCACAAGCACAAATGTGAGATGTACCTACTTGCTAAATAAAATTAATAACAATTCAACAGAGGCAATGCCACTGTGACAAGAGCTTGTAAATCGCTATGTGGTGTCAGTGGCATCTGAGGACACCCTCTGCAAGAGTATTTGCTAAATACTAAATCCATTTCAGGTGCATTTTTTTGTGTTAAACCGAATTGGTTTCGACTATAAAACTATCCAAAATGTGTGTTTGTGCTGGAGTTCGGGAATGGAGAAGAGGGCAGGGAAAAGGAGGAGGGGAGGAAATGTTTCACATTTTTTAGACTATTTCTAATCTCCTCACTCATACTGCCTGAGAATGAAGTATCTATTGTTTACTGGAAATGCTTTTGTGAATGTCTGCATGTCAGCAAAGGGGTCTAACATAGCTTCTGACATAGTTTACATTCCTTTCTAGCTGTGATGTGTCTTCCCCATTGTTTTTCCCTACCCTATCCTGTCCTTTTTTTTTTTTTTTTTTTTTTCCCCTTGCACTTTTCTGTCACAATTCTTTCCTGCCCATCCCAATTCTGCCAATATTCATCAGGAGTGTATGACTGACTGATGACATGAACACAACTTTATTAACAGGTCAGGGTGCAAGTTACTCCTGTCCTACTGCACAACAACAAAAAAAAGATGTGGGGAATGCCTGGGGAACCACTGTTATCTGGCCATTCTGCCACATCCCTCCAATTCCCTCCTCCTCACAAATTCCTGCTCCTCTTTCCCAGCTGGCTCCCCCCTCCGCCCCACCGTCTCCAACCTTTTTGCTCTGATACATAACTTTTCCCCATTTATAAGGAAAGGAGCATGTCACTCATTTTCCCTCAACCAGTGAAACTGTTCTCATGTATCACTAACATCACCTCTCCCGTGGGTGCCACATTAGAACAAAGGGGAGTGACTTTAAGTCAGTCCAAGTGATGAGAAGGGCCAGAGCTCCCTCCCCCTTTTAGTGAAAAAACAGGAGAGAGACAAAGAAAGAGTAAAAAAAAATCAGGGTTAAAAGGATTCTGGACTCGTGTGGAGCCAGTTCTTCCTCCCCACCCTGGGTTTTGTGAGAAGGTGCCCAGTTTCTTATGTTACAGTGTACCCTAAGCCAAGGATCACCCCAGTTTCTCCCCAGACATCTGTACTTTCACTGCTGTCTGAAATTCAGCAAAAAACAAGCTTCAACAGCTCATTTGGTGTCCCAGCATGACTCTGAAATAGCAACACGTGAAGTTAAAAGCCACGTTACGTTTCATTTGCTTTTAAAAATCAGCGCGTTCTCTACCTAGGTGTAGTTTGGTGGAATTTGTTTGGTTTTTTTTTTAAATTGCACAACCCTGGATCGCATACTTCTTTTTCTAAAGCCTGCATTTTCTCTTCCCCAAAACACTGTACATTCCCTTGTTCCTCCTCCTTTCAACCCACCATGAGCAGAGGGTTTGAGCACTAACTCCGGTCCTGAGATCGTGTGAGAACTTCACCCTTCCCCAGCTGTACTCCAGGGGGCAAAACCCGCTCACAACAAAAACTCGGGGTTTTTCCTAGCTTTCCTTGAGCAATTCCCTCATCACCTCTCTACAACGAAACGGAGAGAAGGCGGCTGCAACTCATCTCTCTCCAATCCCTTAGGGCAGCCTGGAAAAAACCCAGACAGCAGGAAAACCTCCCAAACCAGCAGCCCGATAACCACTCCCGCCTGAAAGTTCGGTCTTCACGGCACGGCCCACGGCGCTCAGAGCATCTTCTATTTCCAGGCTGAAACTTAGGAGCAAAACGTGTAAAAGTGTAAGAATATAGAATTATCTTATATATACCGTGATGCAAAGCATCTATGAGGGACGGCACAGCGCATATCTATATGTTTAATATGAGTTTAAAGTGTGTTTGCTGGCGGGGGAGGGAACCCGGTGTCCCGGCGGGTGTGACACAAACACTGACACAAACACAAACACACACAAACACACACACAAACACACACAAACACACACACACACACACACAAACACACACACAAACACACACACAAACACAAACACACACACAAACACACACAAACACACACACAAACACACACAAACACACACACAAACACACAAACACAAACGCTCTATCGCGGCCCCGGCAGCTCAGCCCGGCCGTTCCGGGACTGCCCCGAAGGAAGGACGGGGACAGGCGGCGCTTCCCGGAGGCGGCGGCCGCTCTCCGCTGGCGAGGGCTGGGCTGGGCTGGGCTGGGCTGGGCTCTGCCGTGCCGTGCCGTGCCGGACAGTCCCGGGCAGCCCCGGCGGACCCTGAGCGCTCCCGGGGAGCGGAATAGCGGCTC